AGATTGAGTTCGTTACTATAACAACAGTAGATCAAACAATCATTGGAAAAAATAATAAAAAAAAAAACTTTGTCGAGATAACCAGAAAATTAAGTCGTTATAACGAGAAAACAACTCTCGTTATGTCGATATAACGAGAAAATAAGTCGTTATAACGAGAAAACAAGAAGGAAAAAAAAATAATGCATGGCCACTTAGAACTTCCGTAACAAAGACTATTCTGGGAAAAAAAATAACTCAGACATTGCTAGAAATTTCACAATCAATTACTAAGAATCAGCAAGTAACACATTGTATTAAACAATCTTTGATTCTTTGAAGCGACAGCTGAAAACTCATCTCTTTCAACGTTACTTGACTTCATCCTAAATTAAAAAAAAAAAAAAAAAACTTTGTCTTTCTCTTTTTTTATTCCTTCCCTTTCTAGCTTGTACTTATTTGAGCACTGCCTAAAACTTGCATTACAAGCACTTCTTGTGTCTGTTTGCCTCTTTAAGAAGAATGGCTTTATGTATTCCCCAATTGCAAGTAGCTTTGGATAAAAGCGTCTGCAAAATGACTAAATGTAAATGTAAACATTTTTAAAGGTGAAAGGTCATTTTTTCAGTGAGTTTTACAGTTATTGCTCAAGTTGTTTGAATGCATGTGAAAGGACTTCCTGCACTTTTTGTGATATCAGTGTTGCAAACCAGATGTTGAAAGACTAGTGACAAAAATAACTCTACTGTTTCACCATGCACCATCAAGCCAACAACATATTGGTGGGTTTTTAGCATCACATTACAATAATTATTTTAATCAAATGACAAATACATTCATTTCGAACTAGATTGCAACAAACTCTTAGCTTAGAGCTGTAATAAACAGGCCATGGCTGTATTCATATGTCAATATGTGGGATGATGAGGCTGGATATTATTGGCTAGTCTGCGTCACTCTCCTCCAGTGTTTTTCGTCTCCAGCTCAGCCACGCTTCATTCAGACGACACACAGACACCCTGCAGGGGCCACACGTCACCCTCATGGGGAACCAGAAGAATCCCTGGATCTCTGCTCTGGTCTTGGTGGGTCTTCTACATAAAGTTAGTGGACTATCCAATACCCAGGTAAGATGTTAAGACATATACTTACTATACCGTTTTTGTCTTGGTTTTGGTAATACTGGATTGCTCATTTGGATAAAACTAGGAAAAAGGATAACAATGCACATTTTTTTATTTATGTAAAGTAAAGGCATTGCTTGTTATTAAAGCAATAGGCTGAGTAAACAACATCCAAGTATTTGTGTGTTACATTGAAGCTTAAAAGTAAATACTGGAACAGATTGGTATGAAATATCAAATGATCTCATATAATCTCTGTACTAAAGCATGTTTTTAACACAATGCTGTAAGGATGTTGAGGTTATAGCATAAATCAGTGTGATTTGATCGTGCGCACTGTTTTCACCATGCAGTAGCAGGTGCAGTGGGTTGCCACAGTAACTGAGGCAGAAAATAATTAAATAAATGGAGGGAAAAATATAAGAATCATGTTCAGTACTTAAGTCCAGGGTTATATATATATAGTAAAATAACAGAATGTTTTGTAACCGCTTTTTGTTTTTAAGCACTTCAAATACCAAACAGCAAAAGTCAAATAAAGGTAAATATTTACTTTACCTGGTCAGGGTATTATACCTCCACTACTACAGCTTCAAGGTGATATAACCCTAAAACATTTCTATTCTGAGAAACAGAACTGTTATATGATCATAAGAATTACGATGACATGATATTACAGTTTTGTTCATTTTTTTACTCGCATATTAGTCACATCCAGTTTTCTTGAAAATGAGCTGGTTCAATGATAAAGAGTGTGCCTGGGGTTTCACAGTTTTGAGTGAGAATACAAAGGTCACTGCAATGTTTAAATAATCCTTTTACACTTCAAAAACCAAACAGCAAAAGTCAAGGAAAGGTAAACATTTACTTTGCCTGGTCAGGGTAACTCCACTACTACAGCTTCAAGGTGATATAACCCTAAAACATTTCTATTCTGAGAAACAGAACTGTTATATGATCATAAGAATTACGATGACATGATATTACAGTTTTGTTCATTTTTTTACTCGCATATTAGTCAGATCCAGTTTTCTTGAAAATGAGCTGGTTCAATGATAAAGAGTGTGCCTGGGGTTTCACAGTTTTGAGTGAGAATACAAAGGTCACTGCAATGTTTAAATAATCCTTTTCTTTCATGTTTATACCGGTCAAAAGTTTAAGTTTGGGAGAATTTCTTTGAAATGTTTTTGAAAAAAGTCTCTTATGCTTGCCAAGGCTGCTTATTTGATGAATAATAATGGTAATATTGTGAAATATTATTACAATTTAAAATAACTGTTTTCTGTTTTAATATGTTTTTCATATTTTATTATTCATTATTCCAATCTTCAATGTCATGTGATTCTTCAGAAAACATTCTAATATGCTGCTTAATATTTTTGTGAAAACCGTGATGCATTTTTTCAGGATCCTTTGAGAAATAGGAAGTTCTAAATAACAATTTATTTGAAATAAAAGTATTTTGTAACATTGTAAACATCTGATCAACTTTATGCGCCCTTGCTGAAAAAAAAAGTATATCGTACCGACCCAAACATTTTGAATGGTATTTTTTCATGTTTCTCCTCTTTGTAATTGTGGTACAGAGCCAGCGTTATTTTATGTTTGTCTGTCTCAGGTCTGCAACACAGCTGTAAGTGACACTATACACAACTATGGTGTGAAAACCCTAAATGGGACCCAGTTCATGCCATTCTCCCATTATGCTGGAAGGCATGTCCTCATTGTCAATGTGGCCACCTACTGAGGACTCACCTTCCAGTATGTGGGTAAGTGTGCACATTATTTCACTTAACACAAATATTAGTATATACAAACATTACTTATGTTTGCAAATTTATATGTGCAAATATATATTTCACTCCTCATGACAACAAAGCTTGAAGAGCAAATATGAAACCTGTTCATGATAACTGTATTGACTATGAGTTTTATATGCTATTTAGAATTGAATGCACTGCAACAGGAGCTCCGAGATGTTGGATTCACTATCCTTGGGATTCCATGCAACCAATTTGGGATGCAAGAGCCTGGAAAAAATAATGAAATTCTTTCTGCATTAAAGTGAGTTCATGTTACTCTTTGAAAATAGAGACTCAGGTCTGCAACACAGCTGTAAGTGACACTATACACAACTATGGTGTGAAAACCCTAAATGGGACCCAGTTCATGCCATTCTCCCATTATGCTGGAAGGCATGTCCTCATTGTCAATGTGGCCACCTACTGAGGACTCACCTTCCAGTATGTGGGTAAGTGTGCACATTATTTCACTTAACACAAATATTAGTATATACAAACATTACTTATGTTTGCAAATTTATATGTGCAAATATATATTTCACTCCTCATGACAACAAAGCTTGAAGAGCAAATATGAAACCTGTTCATGAGAACTGTATTGACTATGAGTTTTATATGCTATTTAGAATTGAATGCACTGCAACAGGAGCTCCGAGATGTTGGATTCACTATCCTCGGGATTCCATGCAACCAATTTGGGATGCAAGAGCCTGGAAAAAATAATGAAATTCTTTCTGCATTAAAGTGAGTTCATGTTACTCTTTGAAAATAGAGATGTTTCATTGTGGTGGTGAAACCAGTGTTATTGTTTACTATTAAATAGTTTTTTAATAAGATGTATTTAGATGGAAAATGATTTGTATACATAAACTTTAATTAATTTTCATTACTAAAACTAGAAATAAATTAAAAGGTCAATAGAAATATATATAACAAATAATAAAAATGACAAAAGCACATAACAAAATGACTAAAACTTAGTTCAAGTGAGAACTGAAAATATAAAAATAAAAGCTTAAAATATGAAGAATTATAGTATATGAATAATACTAAAAACAGTGGATTAAACATGCAAGAGTGTGCCGTTTTAAAAACTTATTCTGCAAGACATCCAAAAGATAAATGACTCAACAAGTATTAATCAGAAGACACGGTCTTTAAGGAAAAAAGACTGAAAGTTTCTTTAACCTTGAGATTACTGGCCATCACTTATGAGCCAAAACTACCTGAGCATCAGACAGTGTGCAATTAGCTTGTCTTTCTCATCCATCATCCCCTTTAAATTACTGCACATATCATATATCTTGAACCTAAAGGCTCTTTTCTGGAGTAATATCTGAAGCCACTTCTCCGGCCATGACTCTTTAAAGTCTTTATTTGTTTTCCTTATAGACAGACCCATGACGAAACAGATTTCTCCTTGTCTTCACAGGTATGTCCGTCCAGGCAATGGATTTGTTCCAAATTTCCAGTTATTTGAGAAGGTGGATGTGAATGGAGTCAATGAACACACTCTTTTCACATTTTTAAAGGTTGGTCATTGCTTAATAAAGCATTTTTTTTTTAAATCTGAAATTGCTTGCAACACCTTATGCAAGAAAAGACTATTTCACGAAGAAACAAATTGTCAGTTTAAATGAAATTTAAACCTGTTAACCCATTTTGGAATAAGCTGCATAGAGGCCCCAATAAGCATGTAATTTCATTAGAATAAACTGAAATAATAGAAATCAATGAATACAATATAAAATATCAAATTACATCAAACCAATAAAACAGAATAGCTATTGTTTTATCTTAGCTTGAGAAGTGTACTTATGTTCACTTTTTGAAGTTGTAAGTAAAAAAAAAATACATTATACAAGAAAATCAGTCTTTCTACTTTAAAATGTCTATTCCATGTTAATTCCATTCTTATATGTGACCCTGGACCACAAAACCAGTCTTAAGTCACTGAGATATATTTGTAGCAATAGCCAAAAATACATCGTATGGGTCAAAATGATAGATTTTTCTTTTATGCCAAAAATCATTAGGATATTAAGTAAAGATCATGTTCCATGAAAATATTTTGTAAATTTCCTACCGTAAATATATCAAAACTTAATTTTTGATTAGTAATATGCATTGCTAAGGATTTCACATTTGGATAACTCAGATTTCAGATTTTCAAATAGTTGTATCTCAATCAAATTTTGTCCTATCCTAACAAACCATACATCAACGGAAAGCTTATTTATTCAGCTTTCAGATTATGTATAAATCTCAATTTTGAAAAATTGACACTTAAGACTGGTTTTGTGGTCACATTTTAATATTTTACAATAACACCTTTTCTCTATCTGAGATCTGTTGTGTCAAGTAAACTGCAATGGAAATGTTCCATACATGTTAAAGGTTCTTCATGGAATCATCAATGCCAATAAAGAGTGAAGGCGGCTCTTTCTCTTTCAGAATGCCTGCCCACCTGTGGGAGACAGCTTCGGTAACCCCACCAACAGATTGTTTTGGGAACCTCTCAAAATCAACGACATCAAGTGGAACTTTGAGAAGTTTCTGGTGGGTCCAGACGGCAGACCTGTAATGAGGTGGTTTCCCAGAGTGAACGTATCTGAAGTTAGGGCAGACATCTTGAAATACTTCCATCAGCTTGTTCAAAAGGCTGATTAACATTAAAACAGTGGATTTAATTGCACATTCATCTCTCTCTCTCCAGCATAAAATGTGTTCAAATAGTCAAAACAGGGTTTCTGCAGGTTTTATGAAGGGAGATTTAAGACCCTTTTAAAATCAGTTAAAGAAAATGTAAGGAATAAATTGAAGGAAAAGCAATACGTCAATATGTTCTCTAAATCTTAATGTCTAGGGAACCTCGGTATTTCTTGTTTTCCCGTGCAAATGTCTAAAGATGTCTTAAGAGTCTAAAAACAGGATGTATAGAAAAGCAAAAAGATAAATTGATTGGCTCGGAAAAATCTACTTGATTCAAGTTTTAAACAACAAAAAAAAAGTTTTCTTGATTTAAGGATGTTTAGATATTTGTATTGGGGAAAAGGACAAAAATAGTGAAGAATATGATCTTTTTTTTTCTCAAGTGCATGCAACATTTAATGCCATTATTTAATGAATTTAAGACTTTCTACGCTGATTTAAGGCCTTAATTTGTGGAACGGCGATGTAAGACTTTCTAAGACCCGCAGAAACCCCGTAAAAGCAAGATTGCATGTGGCAAAGTTAAAAAATGTAAACCTTTGTGAATTGTTGTTACAAGAATTTGAACAGTATGAAATTGAAGTCAAATGATTCCCAGACTACTCCTTCTAGAGGCTGTCAATGGGTCGGTTTGGAGACTGGCATGTTGATGACGGGAAGGCTTGAAAACAGACACTCTGTGGTGCCTGACCTGAGGTCGAGGGCCAGCGGGCAGCTCTTTAGTGCATTCAGGCTGCTCTGCTGTTGCTTTTCGATCATGTCTCATCTCCTAAACTATCCTTTGAACTTGCTGCCGCCTCTGTGGACGTTCAGTAAATAAAGACTAAAAATGCAAGAAACAAAATGTTTTCTTCTGGTTATTGCGTGTCAGGGTGATATGGTGATGCAACTTGTAGTGTAACTCTCACACAACAACATTTGGAGGTTTAGACGGTTAGAATATATTTATTATACTAATCAATTACAAAAGTTTCACATGAGGTCTGCTTTCACCCACTGGAGAAAAAGAGTCATTCCAAAAAGCACAAAACTGCCAACCAGTAATTGATGGAGACAAGTAAATAAAGCACACATCTCCGAGTGCAATCCAGCTCAAAGACATTTCAACTCGTTCGGTTCATTAAATTCAACCACATATTCATAAAATAAATGCCTGCCTATGTTTTATTTTGTACATTTACATGACAAATATCACACCATTTGACAGCAAATGAGTTGCTCGCCATTGGGAATATTTTGTGTTTTGCGTTTGGTTCAAAGCATTGGTCAGTAAGGTTGGAGACACTGCACACATGCGGAAAAACAGCCTTCATGATGGCAGATGACCGTAAAAACAGAAAGGATATGATTCTTACCCTGTTCCAAACATATTACAATGTTTTTAAGTGCGACACTGGACCCATTGTAATCAGCCATTTGGTGATTTGGTTATTTCCTCCTCATGTTCAGCCTAAATCAAAAATGAGACCAATCAAAGTGGGCTGCACTAATGTGATGCATTAACTTATTTATTCTGGCCCACTTCCTGTGCATTTGCACAAACACACAAACTCACATCCTACAGTCTTCCAGCAGCTACAATATGTAAAGGGAGACACAAAACAATACACAAAAGACAACATCACTTAAGACAATAAACCACACTCAGCTGTCAAAACAATAGATATAAATAACTTATCACTTCCATATGCACATAGGGAATAATGTTTTTGAACACTGAATCTTGAAAAATATTACACAAAACTACTGTCGCCCAGATGAAAGCCCTCCTCGATAGATTATCATTTCAATTACACTCATAAGTATCTGAAGGATCAACAAGCTATTGAAGCGCTTACTAAAGTAATCCCAGAACGTAATCGAATAGATGGAAAGGTTAACAGGTGTCATATATGGCTTCAATAAACAGTGGAGCAGATGAGCAGTCAGAGAGTAATGACACGCGCAGACGTTCAACAGTATGTGACCTCTCCCGTCATCTCAACCATGGCCAGTGAAGGAATCATCAATCAGTTCAGTCACATTCTACTGTTAGACATTTTCAAGACAATTCACCTATAGAGTTACAATTTTTAGATACACATTTTCTCTAATTGCACATACAAATGTCTTCATCAGTCTCGATCAGTACCAAAACACTAAATGTCATGTTTTCAGGCAGCTATCATTTAATTAAGTGGTGGAGATTTAACTCTATAGGTAGATTGTTATAAAAATAACGTTCAATCATATTATCCATTAAATAACTGACTTCAATTCCTGCATAGAATTATATAAAGCAGATAATTTAAACTTTAACAATCATAAAAAGGTAAAATAATAAATGTATATATTCTTAATTTGCCAGAACAGTGTTTCACAAACAGGATTATAAAACTTAAGTATATAAACAACATTTTCATCAGTGGTAGATATATATATATATGTGTGTGTGTGTGTGTGTGTGTGTGTGTGTGTGTGTGTGTGTGTGTACAAAAAACAAACAAAACAAAAAACAATAGTTCACACCATGCCAACTGAAAATAAACTGCATCATGCTACTAGCCGGGAGCCATTCCAGGAGAGAGAATATGTGGTTAGTGCTTTCCGGGGTCTATGTTCTGACGCTCCCTTTTCCCAAATCCAGTTGCTCCCATTTCTGCCAACAACAAAGAAATTGACATTTTTTCAGAGAACATATTGAGGTGTGTTTTGAACATAAATGTAAAACAATATTGCCATTTTTTAGACTTATGTCTTCCGTTTTTTAGCCTTTATAGCATAGCAGAGAGAAGAGTGGATTTTTAAGAATGTAACACTTTTCTTCAACAAGGTTGCATTAAATTGATCAAAAGTGAGAGTGAAGACTTTTTACATTGTCACAAGCAATTTTTATTTCACATTAATGCTGTTCTTTTCATCTTTCAAAAGAGCACCAAAACATCACATTACAATGATTTCTGAAAGACCACACGACACTGAAGCCTGGAGTAATGGATGCAGAAAATTTATCTTTGCCATCACAGGAATAAATTACATTTTAAAATGTATAGTGTACAGAAATGTAAATGTTTAAGTGAAATAAATTAACATTTACTATTATTGAACTATTATGTCTGATACCAAAACAACACCAAACTCATTTTTGACCCAGGTCATGATATTGCTATTCATCATAATGCGGAGCAAACAAAGAATATTCAGCAGGAAATAATGAAGGACATGATTAGAGTTTATGCATCTGGATTTGACAAAAGTGTAAAAGTTGAGTTATGATACCACTAACAAAATAGTGGTAGTGTGTTTATAAAACACTATGGAAAGCAGCCTTCTCACTTTAGCAGAGATGATGTTTCAGAGGTGGAAAATGACTATATGCTTTGATGAAAGATTACGTCAACAAACATTTTCATCTTTAGAATAATTTACATTGATAAATTATGCACAATGGAAAGCAAATTGCGTCAATTTTTATGTCTGTAGTGTAGATGATACAGATAACCGGACAGACCCAAAAGGAAACTAAACTTCATAGGCCTTGTACAATCATTGCCATTTCATTTTGTCTGTCATGGTTCTCATTGTCGTCATCATTTGAACTGCCTCCAGTGGAAGCTGACTGATTCAGACAGAATGCTTGAAATATCACTGGGTCAGACTGACATTGCGTGGCAAAACAAAATGAATTCTGGTGACGCAGGAAGGATGCAGGAGACCAGAAAGGACATGCAGGTTGAATCTAATAAATACCTGCAGTTTCTGGAGGGGGTCTCGCTGTGTCTGCTTGTCCTCTGGAACCACGTGGTTGTGGGAAGGATGACTGCCAGGGAAAACCCTGAACAAACACACACAAAAGAAGAAATCATTATACGTAGAGAACAATAGTTTCAATCTCTGTCCACTTCTGCACACTGTACCTCTTGTAAAACTCTGTTTGTACAAATCATAATAGCCACAAATGTCTTTTTCACACCACATGTGGCTAACCACTTGAAAGTGCTGGAATTACACTCTTGTGTCTGTTCCAGGATGTAAAGGAAGCAAAAAAAAAATTTCTCTCACTATCAAACTAACCTCCTCTGAAATAAAACCAAAAAACAACAACTGTGTTACAGTAAGTGTATAACTAGAACCTGAACCTTAACTAGAGGTGAACCTAGTACTTCAGTATCAGTAAGTTGATTTAAACAAATACCAAAATGCACTTCTTAACATTGCACTTAAAATACTTCAAAATAATAATAAAATGAAATAAAAAATAAATGTATTAATTGAGCAGTGTACAGCCTGGTTTCTGCTAAACCTTGTGCGACCTCATGATCAAAAGTGAGAGTGAAGACTTTTTACATTGTCACAAGCAATTTTTATTTCACATTAATGCTGTTCTTTTCATCTTTCAAAAGAGCACCAAAACATCACATTACAATGATTTCTGAAAGACCACACGACACTGAAGCCTGGAGTAATGGATGCAGAAAATTTATCTTTGCCATCACAGGAATAAATTACATTTTAAAATGTATAGTGTACAGAAATGTAAATGTTTAAGTGAAATAAATTAACATTTACTATTATTGAACTATTATGTCTGATACCAAAACAACACCAAACTCATTTTTGACCCAGGTCATGATATTGCTATTCATCATAATGCGGAGCAAACAAAGAATATTCAGCAGGAAATAATGAAGGACATGATTAGAGTTTATGCATCTGGATTTGACAAAAGTGTAAAAGTTGAGTTATGATACCACTAACAAAATAGTGGTAGTGTGTTTATAAAACACTATGGAAAGCAGCCTTCTCACTTTAGCAGAGATGATGTTTCAGAGGTGGAAAATGACTATATGCTTTGATGAAAGATTACGTCAACAAACATTTTCATCTTTAGAATAATTTACATTGATAAATTATGCACAATGGAAAGCAAATTGCGTCAATTTTTATGTCTGTAGTGTAGATGATACAGATAACCGGACAGACCCAAAAGGAAACTAAACTTCATAGGCCTTGTACAATCATTGCCATTTCATTTTGTCTGTCATGGTTCTCATTGTCGTCATCATTTGAACTGCCTCCAGTGGAAGCTGACTGATTCAGACAGAATGCTTGAAATATCACTGGGTCAGACTGACATTGCGTGGCAAAACAAAATGAATTCTGGTGACGCAGGAAGGATGCAGGAGACCAGAAAGGACATGCAGGTTGAATCTAATAAATACCTGCAGTTTCTGGAGGGGGTCTCGCTGTGTCTGCTTGTCCTCTGGAACCACGTGGTTGTGGGAAGGATGACTGCCAGGGAAAACCCTGAACAAACACACACAAAAGAAGAAATCATTATACGTAGAGAACAATAGTTTCAATCTCTGTCCACTTCTGCACACTGTACCTCTTGTAAAACCCTGTTTGTACAAATCATAATAGCCACAAATGTCTTTTTCACACCACATGTGGCTAACCACTTGAAAGTGCTGGAATTACACTCTTGTGTCTGTTCCAGGATGTAAAGGAAGCAAAAAAAAAATTTCTCTCACTATCAAACTAACCTCCTCTGAAATAAAACCAAAAAACAACAACTGTGTTACAGTAAGTGTATAACTAGAACCTGAACCTTAACTAGAGGTGAACCTAGTACTTCAGTATCAGTAAGTTGATTTAAACAAATACCAAAATGCACTTCTTAACATTGCACTTAAAATACTTCAAAATAATAATAAAATGAAATAAAAAATAAATGTATTAATTGAGCAGTGTACAGCCTGGCTTCTGCTAAACCCTCATGAACATTTTTGTCCTTTTTTGTTTTGTTTTTTGATCATTTTGCCTGTGCTAATGCCAACTGCATACATTTTGGCACAGGTGTGTATTTTTATTGGAATTTTTATAATTTACCCTCATTTCCTTTAATAAATCTATTTTACACTTGGTACAAAAAATAGTTCCTCTCAGGACCTTAAGGACAAAAATGTCCTCATTGAAACCCATTAAAACTGCTATTTTTAATCCCAGGGCCATTTAACTATAAAATGATGCAGTCTTTGTTAATAGGCTTTCATTATGTTGGCAAGGCTTCAAAATTAAAAATTGTAAAAAAAAAAATAATAATTACCAGATGGTGCCATTTTCTCAGGTTTGGCCTTTTAAGCAAATACTCACATTTTTCCTGTTTTCTGCTTTTGCTGTATTATAGAGCCAGTTGGATAAATTATGCAGCTATAATTATGTGGGTGTGTTGGTATGGATGTCAGAGTGTGGTTTGTATGTGTGTCCTTAAAAAAAACCATGTGTGTTTGTGTGTGTGTGCACCTGTAATGTTTGAGAGAAATTATACTGTACTGCAAATCACAAATCCCACCGCTGTGTATGCCAGAGGAGCTTTGCTGGAATCTAATGGGAAAAGTTTGGTACTGCACCCAAACAAAATCTTACTAAAAGCTAATTTTTTGAGATATCAACCTCAAATTTGGAACACAACTTGTTTAGATTTATGGCTTTGATTTTCTAGCAATTTTTTGTGTTCAGCGTGTTTTATAAAATATATATTTTATATAAAAAATAGCTAAAAAATAAATATCATAAACTTAAACCTCTATAACCTTTTTTGGTTTAAATTTTTTACAACTTTTTTAACTTCAACAATAATCTGTCAAGAGTCTTCTTTAAAATTAGACCAAACTTAAGTCGGTACTGCCAAGCTTCACATTTTTATGACAGTTTTTGGACATTATTGTCCTCTATGAACCTATGCATAACTTTTTTTTTTAAAGAGGTTTTATTATGCTCTTTTACAAAATCTTGATTTAGTTTTGCTTTGCTAGAACAGGCTCTCATACTAGCTTGTTCGAAAAACACATTATTTTTCACATATTTTACATTATTACAACACCTTTCTCCCCAGTCTGGCATGAACGGCTCAAATAGTTCCTGTATCAAATGAAGACCCGCCTTCTGAAATACGAAATGTGTTGTGATTGGTTAGCTGGGCCAGTGTGTGTTGTGATTGGCAGCACTCGGTGCCTGGTCGGGAAATGTCATGCCCCTTACCATAGCCGCCTGCGAGCTTCAGTGTAAATATTGCGTCAAAATCAAATCAATTTGAGCGCGATTTAAACCCGGATGATTGTAACCACTCTAAGTTCGTCTGCCCTGGGAAAGCTAGCTTGTCTCCGACATAGTGATAACACTCGTTGCCTTCTCTAGTGCAGCTCAACCAGGTCTCGTCCCATTCGTCGATATTTGTGATATCACAAATCCCGGAAAATATGCGTTGTAGTCCAAACGAGTCGTTCGCTGTAGTTTTTGAAAAGTGATTTCTGTTAAATAAAATATCTCCTTTTGAAGTGGACTTTGAACTTTGTAATTTTGCAGATCTTTTTTATGCTCAAACAGCAACATTACAGACTAACTAAAGTTGAAAAAGTGAAAAGGCATAATAGGACCCCTTTAATTGGCGCACAAGGGTTAAGTTATTAACAAGTAAAAAACTTTAATTTATTTATTCTTTAGTACTAAGTGTTTACTTGAATAATTGAAAAACTTAAAGCAATGTTTATTTGAGAAACAATTCAAGGCTGTTTTAATGTAATTTTTTAATATTTTACATTAATATTAAAATGAGGGTGGTTTTGTGGTGTTGTCAAGAACCCTGAAATGTTACTGCTGTTGCTATCGCATACTTACGGGGTTGACAGGCTGGAAATCCCTGCCGGGTGCTGTACTGATGTTAGGCATCCTGGGCGGGAAGTGTATGGGCCACCCCTCTAGACCTTGATGGCCCACCTGTACAAACGGGCCACAGTATGGAGGGCTCATCGGTCCATTGGCCGAGCCAGAAGTGGGATCAGACGTCCTTCTTTCCTGTTGCCCCTCCAAAACATTGAAAAACAAAATCTAAATAAGATCCAGTTGTCTTTCCATTTAGGGATTCTAGCACATTTGTTGATTGTGATTAGAGCTTCTACCACAAGGTGGTGCCAATGTAGCACATTTACCTGCTTATGTTGCATCTGCAGTCTCTCTAGTTTACACCTCTCTGCACGCTCTCTCTGACACTCATTCTGTGCTTGATGAAGCTGAGAAACAGAGATACTGATTTCAGGACTAGCATAAGATTCTTTCATGTCTCCTTATTAACCAACTGGGCATTTCTCTGGAGTCAATTCATTGGTTCGAGCTGACAGTCTAAGGGTCCGTGTAATTACTGACCTGATTCGTCAGATTGCTCAATTGACCCTGCAGCCTTTCCACCTGCCGCCTCAAGTCTTCTTTCTCTTCGTTCATCCTCTCTCTGTCACTCCTCTCCTTCCGGAAATCCTCTTCAAAGATTTTCACCTGAAAACATTGCATGTGATGAGGATGCAAATCTACAAGATCTCTGCAGCCATCGGTGCATTTCAGCAGGCTGTAAGGCTGAAGGAAGCTATCAAACCTCAAACAAACTGTATGACTCATGGAACCTTAACACACTAATTTCTTACAAAGCGTGTTTGATAAATGAGGTAAAATGTCTGCAGAATCAATTCATGTAGAGTTTCATTGACTGAAACCTCAACTCCTAGAGAACCTCTGACAAAATCTGACGCAATGATAAAAAAAATGCATTCCGAGGAGTTCTTTTACTATTTTAGCTCATCTGACCACAGCAGGGCATTGTGCCATGTCAGAGTATACTATGACCCTACAGAAATTGGGCACATGAGTTGAGACACACAAATGTATGAATGTTACTGCATTCAATGATAAAGTATAACATTTCGACTGGTACCAAAGTGATCTGGTCCCCACTAGTTCCAATGACATTTGACAAGAAGAATGCTGCTTTTAACATTTGTCAACAAGATGCATCAGAGTCTTCAAGTGTTTGTACCTGCTCCTTCAATACAGCTATCTGTGTGTGCAGTTCCTGCTGTCTCAGGTTGGCCACACCTTCTCCCAGGTTCATGCCTGGCTGGGTGGAAGAAGGAGAGTGGAGGTTCAAAGCTTCCTCTAATGCCTGTAAAAGAAACAACACAATCAGAACTGATTTTTGCTTTTTAAACAATATTTAGCAAAAACATTAAGCAGCACAACATTAATAAGAAATGTTTCTAAAGCACCAAATCTGAACATCAGAATGATTTCTGAAGGATCATGTGACATTAAAGACTGGAGTTTTGACTGTTGAGAATTCAGCTTTGCCATTCAGTTTTTCTTTTTTAATAAATCTGCATAAATGTCAACAATTCTGTGTTTTTCTGTCAATATGGGGTGCTGTGTGTACATTAATGAGGAAAAAAAATTAACTTAAATGATTTTAGCAAATGGCTGCAATATAACAAAGAGTGAAAAATTTAAGGGGGTCTGAATACTTTCCGTACCCACTGTATATAAATAGAAAACAGTTATTTTAATGTGAAATATTATTTCACAATATTAATGTTTTTCTTCTATGTTTAAACAAAACAAATACAGCCTTGGTGAGCATAAGAGACTATTAAAAAAATAATTAATCTTATTGACCCCAATGATTTGAACAGTAATGCACTTAATAAATAACAAAATGCATTTCTTTTACAAATGCCATAAGGCTTTAGATTAGTGCCTGTCTAACTAAAGGACAATGGACAATGAAAGTTTTCATTGAGATAGCTAGGAAGTGTATGTGCATTAGTAAGTTTGTGTGCTTCACTGACCCTATTAAGCCTTTGGATCTCTTTCTCCTGGTATTCTCTTTGTTTAGTAAGTGGCAGCATCTGGTCCTGCAGGTAACGCACCTTTTGTTTCAACTCACATGTTTCTGAGGTGAGGCACTCCTTCTCACCCTATGACAACATAAGAAATACACTGGTTAACCACTGGAGCAAAACACAGTCACTTGATCATGCATCTAGACTTTATACAGTTAGTGTTAGGGACATTTATTGTCTGACACTGTCTTACTATAAATGTCACTTTTCCAGTATGGCTGCAACCAGCAATTAATTAAATACCTAAATCAATCTGTCTTTGTTTCATCAGGTAAAAAAGTGCAAGTTAATTTCCTGTATTGTAATTACGAAAAAGTCTATCAGCACACACTATAGTCAAAACTGCTGGGTGCTCAGAGATGTCTTTGAGGTTCACCTGCAACTTGCTTTCTGTAAGGACGTTTTACAAAATGGAAATTATCACATGACTTTGAATACACAACATCTTCAAATAAGAATATGCATAGTATGTGCTGGGGAAAAACAACTCATAATCACAAGCAAGCACCTGTCAAAGCACCTGACACATGCCAGTCTGCCCACATGAAACTCTTGTGACCTTTAAAGCATGTAATATAAAAACCTGTGGTCAACATTTTTTAAATTTCGATATGATACAAATGCATTTTTAATGACTACAAGTACAACATACTAGCATCAGACACAACATTTTGATGTGCGGTAGGTACTGCCTCAAGGCCTCTCCTATGGAACATCTGTGGTCTGCTGTGGGGGTGAGTAATGCTGACAAAACCTTAGTAATGCTGTCCATAACTCATAAAAAAAACTAAAAACCATGAGAGCATTGAGATGTAAAGATATGTAGGCCGTGGATGTGAAAATGAAACCAGTCGTCACATGACACAGTCTATGACACTTCATAAATTTCTTTACGATTTAATGCCATATAAGCAGCAATGGCTATATTCGTGGCAAAATCAACAGAATTATAATTACAATATCTGACACTCAATACATTTATAAGGCAGTTTATCTCTGGCATGCTTGAATGTCCCCTCCGGGACTGAAGGGAAACTATTGCTGTATTCTAAGAATGTCATATGGTCAGCTAGAGGGAATGACTGGTGCTTCCCAAGAGAAAACTGAAAGCACTGAATGACTACTTGAAGCCTTCATTGAGTTCCACAGGGGTGCTTATACCAGTAAAATGTTCCATAAAGAGTAAGAAAATTTAAATTATTAAACAAAAATCAAATAAAGAAAGACTTAATGCCCTTTTTTTTAATTACAGCATAAAGAAATAAAAACTTACACAGCAAGAGACTGTCTGACAAAAATGTAAAGCTTTTTTGTTCCATTTAGGGGAAAGTTTATCTGGTTTAAACTACAATAACAGACTATATATACATATGTGTGTGTGTGTGTGTGTATGCATGTATGTAACGAATAGAGAAAAATTAGTGAACTTTTTAAAATCAGAATTTCTCTCCACCTAAAAGTAATAAAGATTGACTGTGGATGTGCTGTCTGCGGCTGAGACCAGGGTGTACCTGCACATTGTCGATCTTAGACTTGGCGAGGAGGAGTTTTTTGTCATAATCTCTTTGTCTCTGTTCACGTTCTGCTTCGAGCTCAAGCACAGCCTTTTGGGAGTCAGCGAGCCGCTGCCTTAGGTCTGTGATCTATAAAGGAGGGAAAAAGTCAAATTGATGAAGGCTCATCTGATAGTGTGTTTTTGTAAATTGGTCTCAGATACATCTGTTAACAGGCCATACTAACACAAAATCAAGGACCATCAGTTACCGAGCTGCCCTGAATGGGCAAAATGTTGTATATTGCAGTTTGCTTTAATCTGCATGCCAGAGTGTGCCTTTATCAGAAGTTTGATAAGGGGCTGTAATCTGTTTTATAGTCGTGTGATGCATTTTACGGTGGAAAAAAAGAATGATAAAAATAATAAACCACAAAAAATGAAAAAGCAATAAGAATAACAAAATGGAGTTGTTTTTGTTCCACTGCTCTGAGTTTAACATGAACCCCCCATGACGACAGAGGATGCTTGTAGAGAAACAGCCCCGGTATGCAATTTTTATTCTTTTTTTTTTCTCTCTCCTCTCAGACCAAGCAGATGCGGAGATGCAACACGCGTCACCATCTCTGGGCCGTGAGATCACGCGGCTTTGCAACCTTGGCCAGCCCCTACGGCGAGCCACAACAGGAAGACAGTGGGTACGGGCGAGGTGAGGGAAATTCTGCCAGAGGTGTGACAGGAGGGGCCTGTGGTCTGGTGTGCAACACTGTGACACACACACAGAATTGCTTTCCATTCCTTTGCCCCAACAGCATTTCCACCTCCACCCAAATGCAGTAACAGGGCCTGTCAGCAGCCTTCACGTTACACAGGAATTTCATGTGATGACTCATATGCTTCGATCTCCCACCATTCACACTGGTCGGACTCATTAAGCAATTGTTGTTGTTTCTTAGTAAAGTGATTCATGTTTCTTAATGTGTTTCTTTTTTTTTTTACTATCAATAAGGTGAGCCACAAAGGTTAGTTACAAGGCCAACTGGAACATATTTATAAAGCACTTCTAGTGTATACGTTGTCATGTACCTTCTGCTCAAACTGTGTCTTCATTGAATTCCACTGAATGTCCCACTGTTTGTTCACCTCCAGTACCTGAGAAAGGTCAAAGGCAAGAGTTGACACATCAGAGTCAAACGGGAAACTATGTCAGCAGTAAAGCAACCATAAAGAATGCAGGGGACCTCCAAAAAGTTCTTACATCTTTCCTCTGTTTCTCCAGAAGCTTGATCTTTTTCTCATACACCTCCGGATCACAAGTCTTAGATGGTGTTTTTTCCACAGCTTTACCAGACTGTAAATAAAAAAAAAGAATAAGAATAATTTTTAAAACTATTTAAATTATGCATCTGCATAATTTAACAGTACTTCAATACCAAGTAATTTGTAAACAATAATAAAACAAAGATTTAGGCTTACAAAAAACTCTGATAAATAAATTAAAATGACAAAAATGACGACAAGAGAAAATCAGAAATATTACTTACTGAAAGATTAAATATTTGCCATTCTTCTAAATGAATGTGTTATTTTCTTTATATATTTAATGAAGTGGAATTTGTTTGTAAAACTAAAAAAAACATTAAACCAAGAGACACAATAATATAATCCTTTGCTCTGTCAAATAAAAAAAGTGACCAATAAATAATTACCAAATCTGCATCCATCCTATATCTTTTCAGCAGAACTGAAACTCAGTATGAACGGTCTTCCCATTTAAATGCCATAAAATATCCCTGCTAGACTTTAAACTGAAAACTGATAACATACCGTAATCAAAGCATTAGTTCATGACTGACCAAAAAAAACAGAATTTTCCCATCATACTACAGTACAGCAGTCTTTAGGTTGAGTCAGAACGTAACACAATGCCCATATTTATTGTTCTTCAATATTTAGTCATACCGTGAAAAAAAAGCCCACGAATGAGGAACTTAAACAGAAAGACCATTGAGGAAGAGCAGTATTCAGAGCCAAGGTGGTATTCCCAAAACTAATCTAAGTGGCAAAAGTGACTCAATAAGAAGCCTCTCAATTTAGAAACCGGGGAGCAATTTGCACAATTTTCTTTTTTTCTAAGAAATCCCACTGAAAGAGCTAACAAAACAAAAAAGCAACTAGACCGCAACATCACTGGTCTGAAGGGGAAATTGAGGGGAAAAAAACCCAACACAAATTTAGAACAGCACCAGGAATTCTATGGTGATGTCACCTGAGATAAAGAGGTTCATGGAAAAAAAGTGCACACCTGCTGAGTCATGGTCATTTCCACCTTAGTTTTGGTTGTCTCTTCTTTCACTGGCTCCTCCTTTGGGCTTGGTTGCTCAATAGGTGCTGCCTGGGCTCCTCCGCTGACTTGCTCCTTCAGTTTCAAATTCTCCTGCCTGTCCAGAGCACACAGAACCCAAATCAAAACTGGAAAATGAAGAAAAAAAACTGCAGGATTCTCTATTTGAAACAGTCCGAGAACAAGCCTCGGATGGAAAGACCCCTCAGTTTCAGCACAGCAGGAAATACTGTGGCCCCTTATGATATTTTCACAGTTTACTCACACTGATTCCTCTCACAGATTCACAGCAGGCTTTTTTGCTTTTAGTTGTTCCATGAGTAAATGAAAGGATGAGTTTATTATAATGAATATAAATGTGAATTAAATGACCTCAGCTGTTCCAGATCACGGTTACGGTACTGGAGGTCCTCCTCCATTTTTTTCCTAAGCTCGTTGTTTTCCTGTCTTAGCTGTTCACAGAGTGTCTAGAGATAAGAGCGAATTAAATTCTCAGCAAATCAAACCTCGATTAATTCACATAACACAACTCACAGCCAATACAGAGGCCTAAAAGGTGTCACAAGCTCAGCCATCTCACCTGTAGGAGAGATGTTCTCTGTTCGTTCTTCTGGACCTTGGATGATAAGTGGTGGAATTCCACAGCCATGCGGCCCAGGTGAGCCAGCAGCTGGTTGGGATTTGACTCTTCAGCAAATACACTAAAAGAACTCTCCAGACGCTGGAGTTGACTCGCCAGCTCCATGTTCTCCTGTGGCAGGTGCATCCCTCCAGCCTGCATTATAAAGCAGAATTTACCCAAATATTCTTCCCAAAAACACCCTAACATATAATACCAATCACTAGGGATCAAGTGGCACCTTTACTGTCAATATCTAGACTTCATCTTCCCCGATACACAAGAAAAGCACTGCGAAACCATAAACTGAAAGTGAAAAAAACCCTAAAATACCTCTATATAAGCATTTCCAGTTTTGCAAATTTGTGAACAGAAGTTTTTGTAAACCTAACCAAAGAGGTATTCCATAAACTGATACACATGCATGAGTTTTTCAGTCTATCTGCATACTAACAAAATCCTGGAGTTTCCCACTGCGTCATCCAAGGAACAGCCTCATAGAGATATGTTGATTCATTATGATGAACAAATCCTTGATAAGGAAGGGCAGCAGAAAACAGCTGAGCAACTACAGTAACTGGAATGTGTCACACATGACTTACATGCGTAGCACAAAATGACAGAACACGGAATATTCTAAACGGAGCAACAATCCAGCAAAATACACACCAAGTTCACACACGTGCAGTTGAGTGACTGCAGCTGCCCAGGATTTCCTAACATCCCTAAAACTCACCGTCTGGGTTTCCGAGACCGTCTTCTCTTCCATATTCACCACCTCAAACCCAGATGAACTTTCCTGTAAACACAAGAATTAACAGCATTGCAACACTTGTTCTGACCGTCACACAGAATATCAACTCGTAAAGAATTTACCCTTCACAGATGAGGAAAATGACAAGTAAAACTAGAAGTTCCATTCACATTAGACTTTTACAACATGTTGCGAAAAAATATGTTCACGTTTAACACAGCTATGATGGGAATTGGGAATATATCATAACACGTGCATTGCGATAATCGCACACAACATTAAGTCATAATGGATATTTCACTGTTCAGGTCAAAACAAATTAACCAGCAATTCACAAAACTGGAAGTTATAATCCCAGTGCGGAATTTTCACAACATCAAAGACATAATGGTAAACCAACAAGTTATAACGTGTTATGATAGTCATTTATACAGTATGAACGGATATGTCCCTATTTTGACTTCACATGGGATTCAAATTGACAGCAAGTCGCAAAACTGAAAGTTACATTACTATGTTAGATAGCATAATTGACTTAAAGTTATGATGCTATCATATTTATAGCATGTAGGGGTGTGCGATATTGACAAAAAAATTATATCTCGATATTTTATGGGATTTTATCGATAACGATAATTAGACGATATTTTGCTGTGTGTGTTATTGTGCTGGTACCTTAAGGACTGCCGAAGACAGCTGACTCCTAACGTTTTTAATATTCTTCATATTCTGTGTGGTGGTCAGATAGAAATTAATCTTTTCCAATAAGTTTAAATAGATTTTTGCATATTATGGGCATTTTTACCTTTATAAAGCCATTTTTTCTAAAAGTGTCCATTATCTTTTGAGTCAAATTCTTACATTTAATCAGGGAATTAGAATAATAAGACATTTGGGCTGTTACCAAGCAAATTAAATCAACACAGAAGCTGCATCTGAAGTGGCATTTAGATGTATTTACACACATGTATTTTGTTTAATGCAAGACATGAATGCATTTAACCTGCAATTACAAATGCATAAATAATGTTTTGATATATTAAACATAAAACGTTGAATACTGATATTTGAAATTATTTAAAACATGAAAAAAAAAATTTTTAAAAAGAAAAGAAAAAGGAAATGTGAAATTAAAACCGCCAGCAGGTGGCAGCAAATCACTGTTAATAAGTGAGTCATTGCGATTAAACCGAATCATTTAAACGGTTGATTCATTCAAGAACGAAACACCGTCATGTTGCTCAGAGACACAAAACAGCGCTGTGGCTGTATTCGGGATGACTTTTGTTGGTGAAATAGAGTAAAAACAAGCAATATGGTGTCTAAAACGTAAGTCTCTTAATTAACTTATTGTTTATTGAATTCAATGTCACATTTCGTAATCATGGTAATTTTTGGAGAAAAACGGCACTCTTCGTGTGAAATTGAATAACTATATGAAGTGGTATAAATATGTAAATTTTCTGCCATCATGTCTTGAATTTGTGATCATTCTAAATGCATTTTAATAGACTGAATCATGCAGTGAAAGAACACTCACTAAATGCGCACACGCACTAGTCTAGGCTTCACGTAATGTATGCGTGCGCTCTGTAGGGATGTTTTGAATGGTTTTTGCAAAATACTCGATAATGTCAAATCGCACATCGTTAAAACAACAATTACGATATTATCGCAGACGATATATATCGCACACCCCTGATAGCATGTTTCCAAAAGTTTCAGTAGAAGTGCTTACAGTTGCCTCTGGTTGTAAAGTATTTCCAGTTATACAATCCCGAGATTCTTGTCTTTCTGTTGTAGGATGAGCGTGATGTTTTCCATGACCTAAAGAAAGCCACAATCACAAGAGATCTGGTTTAAGAAGAGGTATCTCTGGTGACACACCTTTCACCGACCTCACTCCATCAGAATAATGATATAACTGTACCTTGTGTGTCTGTCTGAACAGGGGCGCCCATGCACAGACTGGAGGCAAAGCTGGTCGTGGACGACTTCAGAGTTTCGTTATCCCTCACCAGCTCCTCCACCCTCTTCCGAAGCTTGGCCGCCTCTGTCTGAGACTCCTCTAACAGGTCTCCTACCAGTCACAAAAAAGGCAAACAATGGGCTACATGACATAAGCATGACAAAAAGCTAAAAGCTGAAAATCCAGAATAGCTTCATTTCTGATCCAACAATAAACCTCTAAGTCCAAATTAGCAACACAAGATACCAGTGAACTAATACATGAGTTTGATGACTCCGATGCCCAGAATGAGCAACACGCAAGGCATTTAACTATTATGAAACTTCAACTTAGACACTGACAGATGGTGAAATTGAAAATATAAAGGTGATTATTATAAAATCTTCCCAGGTGGTTTATATTAACCAAACCAGCCGGATCAATCAGGTTCTTGATTCTCAAAGGCATTAAAAATAGGTGGCCGTTTAGGATTCCTCACCTAAACTCTTCAGACCTTTCATTCTCTCCCTCAAAACGGTGTTTTCCTCTAGCAGCTGTCTGTAGCTGAGGCTGCTGGCCTCATCTTTCACCTGGCAATCGCTCCCACCGGGGTCATAGATGCGATATGGCCCTTTTCCCTCCATCTGTTACCCCCGTCACTTACCAAACATGTTTCCCTGTACTAAAACAAAGAAATCAGGAGGTCATTCATTTTTTTAGGTGTACTGTACAGACAGGTTAAACAAAACTCTCAGATTAGCACTGTAACATGAACAGACGGCACGGAAGTGCGTAAAAATTGTTGATTTGCAATTCAAAGGGAGGCATTTGAATAATGGCATCTTGGGGATTTCTCTTTGCCTATTTCAAGACCTAACGATTTGAATGCACATCTTTGATATCATAACGAAATGTGTCATAGCAGTCATTAAGATATTCTAAAACAGTTTATGATTTTCCCATCAGCGTTTAATAAATCAGTCAACCAAGACCGGCATAAATCCTCACTTCCATATAACCATGACAAGTGACATTTACACTAAGTGACAGGTCAAACCAGCAGCCAGAGAGAGGAATAATCATGTGCCACCAGACAATATCTCGTATCCAATAAGACAATTTCTCAAAAACAATGTCTCTGAAAAACACCAAAAACACAGCCACCTACCTTTAAAGCAACTGTAAACCCAACTAAATCTAAAGCTAAACCCTTTCACTTTCCTTTCCATGACAAGACCTGTTTAAACAGTTCTGGTAGTGTCAACATCACGCTGATAGATGATCTTAGACCAGAGGAAACCTTATCTAGAGGATCATGTTTATTTCTAATCTCCTCCAAGCTCTCTTAATCAACAGCTCTCAAATGACTTCACTTAACAATACGACCTCAAACAGACACGGTATGGAAACCTTAAGCTTTTATTAAGAATGAGCCGAAACCCCCTAACGTTACCCACACAAGGTCAAAGCCAACGTATTTTGTATTCTAAATAAATGACTCACTTTCAAAACAAATATATGATGCTATTAGCTTAGCATCCGGCTAACAGCAGGTGATGTGTTTACCACGCTAGCAGACAAAAGCTTTCGCGCTAGCTTTCCCTACAGCCACAAACAGCACCTAAATACGCTCAATAATGTTCTAGGAGAGGATAAAACATAGCGGTCGCACGATAACGTTTAAACATACCTGTATTTTACCCCTAGTTCTTTGTTTTTAATGAAAAGAGGAGCTCTTTCTGTACCTTGACGGAGACGCGTCTTTGATCGGCCGGAGGTTTGCGGAAGTGGTTCGCGGCGCGAGCTGGGAAATTCCGCAGATGTAAACAGAGCCGCGTTCACTAGTGATGGGAAGTCCGACTCATTTCCGCGAATCGGTTCATTCAAACGGTTCGTTCGATTCTTTCACGTCAGAACGTAATTGCGCCATCAAGTGGTCCCTTAATACACTATCGGAAACGTTCAAATAAAGAGTTATTTTGTATTATTCTGTTCTCTTGGGCTTCGTACCAGTTTCAAGAGAGGTTTCCCAGAAAGCAGACAGCAACAGTATTGTTATCTGCTGAGTTCAGGGTGTGAGTAGAAGCATTGATGGGTCTTTTTCCGTGCAACAGCCTTCCTATGTCAAAAACGAGCCTTCAAACCATCAATCAGTTATTTTGTCATGTATTACACGTTTTTCTAGTTTTAATAATAATAATAATAATAATAATAAGGTTGTTTATTGTATTTCCTGTTTCCAGTTCAACTTGTTGCAGCCCGTGTTTACTTGTAAAAACATCCTGCCATTTAGAACACAAATATAATTTGCTTTAACAATACTAAAAGCCAAAGGTTTTGTATGCTATATTAAAATGCAGCTTATTAACCAATTTTATTAATATCTGTCATATTCAGGCCACAAATATATTCCCAATCCTTTAATATCTCTCAAATTAGTCAAATCCGGACAGTCCAACTCACTCATCGGTTCGTTACGAATGCTCGTTCGGTACACAGATCATTACGAATCGATTCAGTACAATTCGTGAAAGAATTGTTCTGGACCATTATTGTGAACCGGTTCAACCGATTCATGATAAAGATCCGACTCAAATGAACAATTCGTTCAGGAATCAGTCATCGTTCGTTCGCTCGCACACGTTCGCAAATTAGTCAAATATCTTGGCTTAGTGGCTGCACTATTTTAGTGACTGAGCTCATATAGGCTATAGAAAAAAGGACTCATCTTCACATTTTATGGTTAACTTTAAATGATTCGCCTGCTTTTCATTTGACGTTAGCCTACTGTTTCATTGCACTAGTTCTTGTATCTAATGTCATGTTTATGAAACGTTCGTGATCAACTTAAAGCCTACCAAAAAAATGGAAATATGTTTTTAGTGGTTCGTAATAGGATAGAATACAAATACCCATGTGACTGCAGTTTACATGTGTGGGTAGAATATAGTCAATATTAGATCAAATATTTCAGATTTATATTTAATAATAAAAAAAAGTTGCAAGGCATCCTTTAGGTAGGTTACTCTTTAATTTATAGATTTACAGTAGGCCCACTTATTACAGTGTTAATCCACCTGGTGCCAAATAAAGTTAGACACACAAAATCCACTTTATCATAAAAATGTATTTTCCTTGAATAGGCATCTAGTTGTATCTGCATTCTTTTTGACCCACATATGCAGTATAGCTGTGCATTCATTAAGCAACCTAATGGTGATTCAGAGGTCTGTCATACTTACTCATTCCGGTGTGAGTTATCTTGAAAACTTTAATCAGTACTGCAGGAAACTAAATTGGTTGTCTCAGCTGTTCTAAACCCCATTAGCTTTCTGAAAATAAAAAACAAAAATTTAAATAAAAAGTACTATACTCGGTTCTATAGCCTTCTTAATTCATTCTATAATATTTCTTCCATCTGAGTATGCAAATTAAAAGGCTGTTCTTACATGAAGAAATTAAGAAATTCACAACAAATAATGAGACTTTGGATTGGGTAACAGAAGAGTTGTCGTTATTGGCCAATTCTGGAAGCTAAACCATTATATGAAAATGACATTTTCAGCATGCTTAGCATAATCAATACACCAAGGTAGGTATGTCTGTGTTTATACCGCAGTATGATGTACAGTACGTATTTAAATATGAGAAATATGAGAGTATTAGAAAATACTTAGAAAGTATACAGTCATTGCAATTTGAAACATGCTTGGCATATTAGGATTTTTTGTCCAAATATTCCTCGGTTTACACAATAGCCTACTGACAGGATAAAGCTGTCAGGAGTTATGAATTCATGAGAATTTTTTTCCATTATGAAGAGATGGTAGGTCTAATTAATTAAAGGAAATCTTTGGATTTGTAATTTTCAGCATGTTTCCAATGATACCATTATTGAAAACAGAAACTGAAGCTCATCATGAAAGTAAACACATGGATGGATGAATGTATTTTATGACCCTTGAGGTTAACTTCAGGAAAATTTATCGTAAGAATTCTAACAGTATTCTGGGTAAAAAAAAAAAAAGTAATAAAAAAACTACTATTACTTACCTTTATTCATTTAACCATATCTAACCTGTTTTACATTGAAGTTCATTACATTTGATTTATGTGTGAATTAGAAATGATATATATATATATATATATATATATATATATATATATATATATATAATTAATTGAAATGCACTCAAGGATAGTTTGAAAAAGGAATCAATTAAAAAACAAGATTGTTTAGAAAGTTACAATACTCCAGTTTGAATGCACAACACATGCTTTTAGTAAACAATACATAAATAGGTGACTTTTAATAAAATTTCCTTTGAAATGTACTACAATCAACATCATCATCAAAAATAAATTCCCCTTTGTCACAGCTTTTATGGAAATCCAAATTTACTGATTTACTGATATAATTTCCCATTTTTATCCAAGCTTTAAAAAAGATACAGCAATTTTCTTTCTATTAGTAATACTAGAAAATAAAAAAACATGGTAAAAGTACTCACCTACACATTATACTTGTGTCCGAGAGGCGTTTTTTAAGGAAACTAGTGGCAATGGGGGAAGCGTTTGCTGTGTTTTTAAACAGAAGGGGGAATTCCCACATAGTGAAAGGCCCTGATATTTTTTTTAGCTCAAAAGTGGGACCTGGTATGCATCCAGGAACTTGAGACTGTTTAGCTAAGTGTTACCAGACAACAGATATATTTAATAGTAACATAGCATATTTTGACTGTTTACAATGCCATAAGTATGTTCTAAATAGGAGCGAAGGATTACTGCATCAAATTATTTATAGCAACTTCATAAATCAGCAGTTTAATGCCTGATATTGAGTTAGAGGACTATAATACGCCATCAGTCTACATGCATTTGCCTCGAAATTGTTCCATAAATAAAGCTAAACGAAGAAGAAAGTTCATAAAACAGGTATAATTGCATTTTGGTTGTCTTTCAAAAGTTTTTAAACCATAAAAAGTCATCCCGGTTACATGCACAAAAAGTGCACTGATAAAAAAACTAAACAATTTTAAATGCAAAAATGCATGCAGCTTTTGCAAAATCAACAGAAAGCACACTTAGAAATGCACTCATGTTGTTTAAGTTGTGTCTGCATAGTAACCTTTTGTTACCTCTGACATTAAGCAGCTCACAACGCCCTGGATAGTTCAGTTTTGTCTTGCTTTTGCATGTGCAACTGTTCACACACAGTCGAAAATATCATTATGATCATGTATTTGATGTTTTGTTCTGAATTTAACAATGTTATTGCTATTGCAGACATCATCGATGGTGACTGGGATGTTGGTCTACTTGCAGGGGATTTCCTAGCCCCACAAGTTTTTTTTCTTCTTTCCTCTTTTAACTAAAGATGGCCTGACAACAGCTGCACTCACACAAAGACACGTCTGCACACACACACAAACAGATGCGTGTATGCACACATACACATAGCTGCAGACAAGAGTATAATGAATTGATGGTTTGAAGGCTCATTTTTGACATAGGAAGGCTGTTGCACGGAAAAAGACCCATCAATG